AAGCTCTGTTGGATCGTAGCTTGGCTGCTCTGGCACGAGAATGTGAGCTCTGGCATTGAGCAAACGCCTTCAGGATTCTTCAACCACGAGCGCTTCCTAGTTGCTGCTGCGCAGCCCTAAGATGCGAACCAACCTCGACCTCTCTCGCCCTAAAAGCCCCGGTTAACTCCCTACTTCGAAGGACTCTCCATCCTTATGGCCCATACCTGCTCCTCGTAGAGCGTCAGTATCTCCCGGTTGTGCTCCTGAAGTTCCAGGCCGGGAGCGGGGACTGGGAAGGCTTGGAGCGAAAGCGTTTGACCCTGGCGGCTCAAGCTATCACGAAGCAGTCTGAGTTCGGTTTTCCTCTTTGAACTGACCTTCTGTAGGGATTCTGGAACGTCGCAGGAAGTGCGGTGTCCCGAAACGCAGGGCCTGTTCCAGTGTGGCGAGCAACTCGCTCGCTAGTGGAGCTGCAACCTGCAGGCTTGCTTCCGGGATCATTGTGTTGGTGAGCGGTTCCCAAAAATGACATCCCCGTCACGAGCCCTAGACTCTTCAGAGCCGACAGGGACTGAAAACGTGGGTTGAGGCTATCCATAATCTTTCGGGGAAGGAAGCCGCAACATCGGACACGCCCCGCAATGTCCTTCAAAGCACACAGCTTCTGCTGCCTGTTCAAACTGGCTTCCGGCATTGGATCCAAGACTTCCTGCCGGACGGTTGATGGTTGTTCAAGATCAGAGGCTTTTGACACTGCAGGCTCTGAGGTTCCCCGGAAAGCCTCGCGAACCTTTACAACATCTCAAGCCCGAAACCGTAGACCCTTAACCAAGGGAGCAGGGATTCTTGTGACGACCCAAAGGCTCTTGGAAAATTATGACGGCGTAGATTCACAAACGGTGATAGAGCACCACGACGACCACGACGACCGTGACCACCACGAAACCAGGAGATCGCACCAGGACCCGATGGGGATTCAGGAGGCTTCGGGAGCGCGGCCACAAGGCCTTCCCCCATGTACAATGAATCTGGCTCTGCCGGTCCTGTGTAAAAAACTGGGACGTGTGCGCAAACTGCTTGTTTACCACACCACAGCGGGAGAGGTATCTGGGGAAACCTCCGGTCTCGCGCGAACAGGCTTGCACGGAAATGTTGAACGCCATGGTGCTTATCACACTGCCAGGGGGAGAATTAGACTTGGCCCCACAACCATGCTACCATGCCAGATCAGAAACCCAACGTGTTTAAGACAACCAGTTTGTCGCCTTCACACCGTCAGATTCACTCAAAACACCACGATCAAAACCTCGAAAGTCACCCAGGGAGCGCAATAAAGAAACGTAAACCTGAGCATCTCGAGCATCAAAGAACCCTGCAAATTGTCACCCAGAGCGTCCTCCAGGCCCGTAGGACCGCACCGATGCGGGCGAGGTCATGAACCGGAGCTCTTTTGCCGGCTTGGGGTTCTTCAGTTTGGGTCTCTGGGTGATAGAGGGGTTGGGGCTTCGGGCTTAGATGGGCGCCAGGTCTGCCTTTGGCCAGTGTTTTGGAGGATGATGGTTCAGGGTTCGGAGTCATCAGGATCAGGTTCCGGCCTCAGTGGTCAGCTCATGGTGTGTGGGTAGCTTTGAGAGCGCTTGCCACTGGCACTGCTGGGGGAAGCCAGTGGCAGTCCAGTCACATCACAGACTCCGAAATGGAGATGCGGGCAAAGGACCGATTAACCATGCTTGCGACAGCTTGATGCAATCCAGCTGTGGTCTTTGCTCTAATCAACGCAGTAGCTTGCGGCGCGCCTCTGGGCACTTTAACAGGTACCTCAGTCAGAGGACGGCTGCGAAAGCTCGCTCTCGGATTCCAAACGAATCTGAAGTTCACTCTCGAAGCGCTGGGAAAGGAAACATGCAAGGTGTCGGATATCCGACAGGGTTCGAAGGTTTAGCAAGCCCAGATAACCGTCGCTAGCTGTGGCTTTCAAATCTCTTCAGGTCCACGTCACGTGCATAACGGCTGTAAGCCAACCGTACACTTCCGAGTATACAACTGATATAACACACAATACTATACAAAACATATTCAATAATCTGTGTATCATATGTCATATGAAAGATATTAATCTATTCAGATACTGAAGCCAAGTCATCTCAGGGACAGGCATCTCCTCGTCGGCAATGGGCGATGCCTTGCATTGCTGTCTTGGCACAGGCCCCCAGCCCAATCTGCGAGATCAACGTGAAATCTTGGCCACTTGGCCCAAGGATGCAAACAACTTCGAGCCTCCACAGGTTCCAGCTGAAGACTTCGACGAAATCTGTGTTTGGGAGTTTGACCGAATATGTGCGGCCAGGTAAGACGCAAGGGGCATGAAGGTCCGCGGTAGATATCCCTTAATGTAACACGTCCGCAAGGAGTCTTGAGATCGTCCTACGCCCTGTACAGCAGCGGAATTGCCCAAATGGGGGCCTCCGCTCGCGCGTACATGGCGGCACTCGCTGCTGCGAGTAGCAGCCGGGAGGCCGGCACCTTGAGCAGAAGAGGCTCGAAGGAAGGGCAGAGGGATCGTGTGGGCCCAGTGCTGTTGAAGCGCTTCACTGAGCCTCGCTCGCTTTACCAGAGAAAAAGCTGGCATCCGAGGGAGGGTTGAGTGGGTTCATAGGCTCTCTTCCGGAGAGTCAGACAGGCCGGGCAGGTCAGGCTCCAGAGTAGAGTGTAGGATACCAGCTGGACAGTTGCGAAAGGTACTCCAATTGACTCAAACCCTTTTCAGGCCCCGGCGCGTTCTGCAGGCTCACCTGCCAACAAAACCTGCAGTAAGAGCAGTGAGGATGTCGCAGCGCCAATAGGGAAATGAAGCATCGTCTCTTTGGTGTGTGTGATTCGTTTCTCGTTTCAGTGTCGTGCAACCCATCAGCTTAAGGTCAATGGTGCGGCAGGTTCTCAGACATGTTTCAACGAGCGGTGTACAAAGGACGCCCTACGCCAACGGCGATGGGAATGACATCTCCTTTAGACTGACTTCGAGCTTCAGTCATGCAATTACTTGATGAAAAGAAGTTATTGGGCAGCAACACAGCGACAAGAACAGGCGCTGCTCCGACAACAACTACAAAACGCCTATCTGCCTTTTTGCAAAGCCAGCCAACCGGGCTAACCTTAGTCTTTGAGTCTTTGTGAAAGCTCAAAGCGCACTACCGAAACAGGAGTGGCCCTCGGTAGTACTCAGTAGTGCCGTCCGCACACATCACGACTCGAGCGGAGAGTCAGCACCACACAGCGTCCAGCGTAGCAAATAATATCGACAAGCTGCCATAGAAAACGCCTTCCAAAGAGCCTTAGGACGCGACAAGGTCACACAGCTCCCCGGCTCGAAGCAGGTCCAGCAAAGCCGGTGCCCTCTGCTCCTGAAGCAGTCAAGGAAGTCGTTCATCAAGAGATCTCACCTGCGGTTGGACTTGGCATTACAGAGAGCCGCCACGCCTGCCAGGTCCTCCCGTGCAAAGAGCCCGGTCCACGATGCTCCTGGCAGAAACGACACCTATCTGTAAGCTCTCTCGCGATCTCCAAGTGTCACCGTGATCATGTCCGACCACCTCGGGGCTAGCTCAAGCTCAAGTGGGGTAGCATGTCCAATCCCAGGTTTTGAATCCAAGCACCGCATCCTTGCCAGAGCCATTGGCGTAGACGGGAGTCGAAGCCATTGCAGTCGCTCTGTTCAGTGTTGATCAACACGACGTAGTGAGGTGCTGCTGCTGATGATGCTGTTGGTGGTAGTGTTCCTGTTTCGAGTAGTACTAGAGTTGTGAGTATGCAACCATCATTGTTTAACGACTTGACACTAGAGCTTCACTGCAATTCACGTGTTCTTCTGGAATAGTCCAGAGTTTAGCTACGACTCTCCGTGATTCTGCTGTGTCTTGCCGCCGGATGTTGTTTCAAAGTACAAATCGCCTGATGCACATTTTCCAGGCATGGGAGGCATGAGTCTTCCAGCTCTTCGCACGATGAGCACGTCCGAAATCTTCCGTCGACATAAACTAGGCTCTGCTAGACTATTGGTAAGGGTAATTCACCCTGTCTTGAGCTCCTGGTCTTCGGAATTCTTCGGCCTTGCTTTACGCTGCGGTAGTCACCGGTAGTCTAGATCATGATGCAACTCATTGCATCCTTGCATCCCACCTTCTGCGGGCACGTTTGCAAAGAGGGCACGACCGTTGTAGCGATGATGTTGACCGCGATCATAAACTCCACGGGCTTGAGCTGGTGTTCAGACAGCAGCTTTGAGGCTGTAGACTGGCTATACGCTTGCTCTATGTTCCCTTCTTGACAACCAGCTCTACGGCTTAGCGGTTGTGACGTCCCGGAGCCTTTCGACTCGCAACTCCCAAAGCAGCAATCAATAACGGCAAAGCCCATGTGAGCCACGGTACAAGTTGTTGGTTAAATGGAAGGACATTGATTTCGGGGTTGTCGTTTTCTGCGCGTCCCCATCGTTCTGCAGATCAACACCTGTTGGATTGGCATCCTTGTAAGGGTCCAAAAAGCGGATCTCGGGCATAGGAGGTGGCGACGAGACGAAGCGCGCTGGGCGTCGAGTGTCAACGTGGGGTAGGCCTGAGCTGCTCGTAGTCCTGTATTATAGATCCCTCAAACACCACACTTCCGGAGCTACCCGTAACCCAAAGCTCGTCTCGAGGCACTGAACCCAAACGTAAAACAGGACTGGGGGCCTCGGACTGAAGGAAGCGCGGTCTCACTTTTTTCTCCAGCTTCTCGTGGTCTTCACTTCTTAATGCTGCGGCCTAGATTGAGCTTGGGGGCAATAGTCGTATACTGCTACTGCTTCTTGGATAGCAATTTTGCGTGTGCGGGGCGGGGCCAGCTCGAGGCTCGAGGGCGTTTCCACGCCTTTAGGTCTGGGAACGGTCTAAAGAAACAAGGCCACACCTACATGTCCGCGGAGTTTGTCCAGAAGCTACCGCATGCCAGGAGAGCTCTGCTTGGGAAGTCTACTGCCTGCTTCAGGGCTCCACGAGTGGAGCTGCATCCTGAGGCCACTCTCTGAAAGAAGAGTTTGGATCCGTTTTGGAGGGGCTTCATTCCTTGACAAGTCATGGGCCGACATGACATGCTAGACAAAAACACACATGCCAACGCATGATCCAGGAAAGCCGCGTCATGCGCTGCAAGCAGGCTGGGAAATGCAGGGTCCGTGAGCGGCTTCAACGAGACGTAGCGTTCAACACTTCATCGGTTGCCCCGGCGTCGACCCCCCCCATCCCCGATGGTCCAGCCGGTCTAAGAGCTCGGGGTTGCTGCCTCGGAAGGGAGCTACAGGGCTCGTGCATAATGCTTCAGGTGAAGAGGTGTTTGTAAGTTCATGTCCGATAACTTTAGTTCCTCGCTTCTGAGCCTAGCTGCCGGAACCAAACAAACCAAGGGTGATGTTCTTTGAATGTAGGCTTCATGCAGGACGCAGGGAATACATATTCTGGAGGCCGTTGACAGAAGTGCCACCCTCCAAGCGTTCACTTCTTGGGGGCAGCAGAGATCGTTTCGATGTCTTGGACATTGAAGGTCAGAGTATGCGGTATAATTACATGCAAACGTTCCACACGGAACCCAAACCCCAAACTGCAACGCCTGCGCGACGTCGAACAACAGAGTTCTTCGGAGTAAGGATCGGAGCCCATGAAGCAGGCCGACCCTCCAATCCAGGCGTCCGCACGCATAGGGTACACTTTGCCAGTGTGCCTCTGGTTTCGCAGAGCTTTTGGGGCATCAGGTCTCTATATAATATCCGGCAAGATACGAGATTGGGACTAGCTCGGGTCATTCTACAGATTCTACAGGGAAACTTGGAGGCATTGCTGGCTTGGCTAAGCTAGGTTGAATAGGACTCGTCGAAGCAAACCGGAACTTTAAGGATGAGTCGTTCGATCGGTCCGCTTGTAGCTGCTCATGAGGGTGAGTCTGAGTTGACGACTTGAAAACAGAAAAGCAAATTGAACAAGTATTGCTCAGTCGGGCCGGGCTCGCGGACCTCCTTTCCGTCGCATTAGCGCATTCATGGTGCGGTGCAGAACTGGCATAAAGTTGTCTCACCACTCTGCAAGCACCCTGAACTCCCCAACCAAAATCGCCAAAAGCCCTCGATTGGCCGCTGCTTCGGGTTGGGATCCAAAGGGCGACTTGGGTGCTGCAAAATACAATCCACTCATCCCAAAGGTGCTAAAGCATGGGTCGCCGACAGCATCATGAAGAATTGCAGGCGACCGGCAGTCGTCCTTCCGTCCGAGTGGCAGACAAGGACTGATGTTCCGGTGTTCCGGTTTCTTCATGGCCAATCCGGAATCGGGATCGTCGGTTCTCAGCACGCAGCTAGAACCTCAAGGCTAAGTTCCAGCCGTAGTACGAATGTGCACTTTAAGGATCACTCCAGCGTGAGTGAGTTCGTGATTTCAGATCAATGCATCAAGGATTCGTGTTATTGGGCAGATGCAGCCTTGTGGAGTGGTTCAGGACCTGACGAGGTAAACCCTTCTCGACATGCAAAGACAGAGAGATCATCGGACCATGCTCGATATGTTGCAGGCTCTTCGTAGACGGGGCCGGCAGTTTCTACTCAAACACTGCGAAGCGGCGAGTCCCTTCTCTGGCTCCTCCCATGGACCCATGCGCGAACTCTGACATCTCTCATCATCTCTCCGCAGCTCCTTACTGGGTCTTCCCGGTCGGGACCATCTGCCACGTTCTCGTCCTGCACTGCTGAGAAGTGGAACAACTGGGTGGCAACAAGGTCACGGGAATCCTCGCAACATCCGATCTGGAGGTTGCCATAGACTTCTCACCAGGCTACCGAAGCTTGGCATTCTGAATCCTGAAAGAAAGTGTGCGTATCTGTATCTTGGCGGAAAAAGATGATATTCTGCATACCATCGCCGCAACACTAATACCAATAGGTTATCGGGTCCTGCAGCCCCAACATCGATGAACCCTGTACTTCAAAGTCCAAGAAGCTCGAAATCCTGCCCATGCCCCAGCCTCCGGCGCGATCTGCTGGAGTATGGCCCTCGGAACGTGAACCTCCTGCAAGTGCGACCTTCGTGCGGCTCACCAGGCTTCGGCTTCAGCGCAGAGATTCTGATGCAGACTTTAACCTGAAAGCTTTCCCTAAGATTTAAAAACCAGGCACACCAAAACCAAGCGAAGCATAAGCTTAAGCGACTACATCTTTGGGACGTCACCTCTGCTGTTAACATCCTGAGCACGGCTCACTTCGCCCGCCGAACATTCCGCCGTGAGCTCTTCCAGTTCCTGCACAGAGTCGATCACCTCAGCACCCACAGGCTGGTGTTCTCGTGAAGCCTAGGCTTTGGGCTTGTTGCCCTTCTGGGAAAATTGATGCCGGGCCTGCTGCATCCGGCCTCATCGGTTCATGCTTTCGAATGACCCCGAGCCTTTTTGAGTATGCGCGCCATCAAACTATTCCATAGACCATGCGTGCTCGAGCCCCTATCTCCCAGATCTGATGATCATCGCACGCAGGAGGTGCGCAGACTAAGGGTGCCAAATTCACTATCACCTCCTAAACCGCCATGCCGCACTACCAGAAGCACGGCCAAGCCAGTCTCTCGACATTCAGCTGCAGATCGTGAGATGATTGCAAGCATCTATCTCAGGCTCGACACCACTTCTTGAACAAGCCAAGACATCTCCACCAGACACATCCAAACCCTCAGAGCCCTAGATCCCCGCCCACTCCAGAGAACTGCCAGAAGCCACTGAAGCTCTGAAATACCCTCGTTCTGCGCTTTTATGGGATCCCTATGGCTTTGTTCCCATCCCCGGTTGGCCTTGAGCGGACCATCCAATGGTCCCGTTACGGACGACATGTAGTACAGCCTGGGAAGATGCCAGGCTGCACCCATGGCTTTTGGCACTCGAAAGCAAAGTATAGAGTTTAGGAACGTATAGAGTTTGGTGCTTAGCGCTTGGGAAGTCTCCCCGCTTATGGTGTGAAGGGCAGACTTGTCTCCATCCCGCGTTTTTTGTAGCGCACAGTAGTGGCCAATGCCAACTCCTCAGCCCTGCAAACCGAAATCCTGAGCAGGTCATGACGCTGAATGATAATGATGCTGATTTATGATGAGGGAGCTGCTGCTGATGGTGGTGACGGCGATGGTGATCATGACCAGTATCGCTGTCTTTGCTGCTGCTGCTGCTGCTGTTGTTGTTGCTGATGATGATGATGATGATGTTGTTTGTTGTCACCACCAACGTCACGGATATTGCTACCATCCTTTCGTTGATCTTCACAGTCTTGCATCGCGACCACTCGTGCTTCGTCTTCGCTGGAAGGTTCGAAAGAGGAGTTTAGCTCAACAGCGAGAAGCGCATGCTAGCATAAGCATGTCCCAGACCATGCTCTTGTTCTTGCGGGTAACAGTCGGCATCTTGTCCTGTGCCTTGTCGTCGCACTCGTCGCATGGCAGTGGTGGCTGTAGCAAAGGCAGTCGTCGTAGTAGAGGTAGTGCCAGCAATAGCAGCAGTCGCCGTCGTCGTGGTAGCAGTAGTAGTAGTAGTAGTAGTAGTAGTAGTAGTAGCAGTAGCAGCAGCAGTAGTAGCAGCAGCCGTAGTCGTAGTCGTAGTCGTAGTCGTGCAGCAGTCGCACTCATCAACCGCTATCATCATCAGGGTCGTCATCATGTCCTGCTCAGATCGCTTTTGAAGGCACAGGGCCGTCTGCCCATCCAGCATTAGATTTGCAGCTGCAGACGAAACTCTTTTCGGGTCTCACGAGAGCGGTGTGACCGGCATTTCTATGAGGGCCCTCGATTTGCCCCTCGACCGTTCGAGATTTGGCGGTTGCCCATGCAGTGTTCTTTCTGGTGCTTAGCGTTTAGATCCTACCCATTACCCCGTCACCGCACAACGCTTCATCAAGGTCTCTTTACGATCGGAGTGCTTCTTGCCCTACTGAGCTTGCGGACCACCCCATTCCATCCGAAGTTGGGACTCGTGGTCTGCATCCGTAAGGCCATGAAGCACTGTGCCGGCGACTTTTCGGTATGGTAGCTGCGAAGGCACCACCGCAATAATAGCAGTCAAAACAATATTACGCATAGAAGGGCCCCCGACCCAAGGACCATGTCCTGCGTGGGGCCGATGACCGGGTCGCCGCTTGCGGGGGAGTTGAGATTCCTGATTCCAGCCAGACAGCGATGCTCGAACGCCTGCAGCTCTAAGCCTTTGGTCGCCAAGCAGAACCGGAATCGAAGCCATATCCCTAAACCCCGAATTAGGTTTCAGGCTGTCGCAATGCACTCCCCACCCGGTCGTTCATCCTTACACTTGCCAAGAAGAACTCGCTTACGAAACTCGTGGATCTCCCGAGCAAGGCAACAACGCTCATACTGTTTTCCACGACCGGCTATTTTTCCCTTGCCCGGGGAACGCGCAAAACTCGAACACCACAATGTGCAGGTCGTTACCGCGCTCCCTGCTTTATCCCAAAACGCATGCACGCACACGCCCACAACATCCCACAACCACACCCACACCTACAACCATACCAACACCCACCCACACGCGCAGAGAGACGATTCTTAAACCTCGAAACAACCCCCAAAGTGCAAGGACGGAAGGAGCCCTTCTTCGGGGCAAGATCGACGAAGGAGGCTCCTCTTTAAAGTGTCAAACCCAACTATGACTGAAACAGACATTGAAAGCTGCCGCCTGCTTGGTAGCATCAGATCCTCGGCCTCCTTTTGAGCCTCCTTGCCTAGGCGTACGGCTTCAGGCTTTCAGGTTGAAAGATAAGTCTTGAAAGGGGTGGAGGTTTAGAAGTTTAGGGCCGTAGGACTTGAAGGTTCTCCTGTGCGCTGTGGCCACCCCTACGTGTGCACCATTGCATTTTCGAGGGTTTCTGGGTCACTGCGTCTACAGGTTTGCAGATGTTGGCATGGCACTGATTTAGTGCAGATTAGGGTCTCGCTTTTGATGCCGCGTCAAAGCTTCGACGATTCGTCTTCGCCGTGCCGGCCGCCACTCAAGTCCATCAGGCGGCTGAGGCTGTTTACGATTTTCGGTAAAAGTCACAACGATCCCACTGAACACCCAAACTCAGCCCCCTGCTCAGAACCAAGTGGATGGTCATGGTATCGCCTGGGCAGCGCAGCCGGGGCGAAGGTCCACTCTTGGGAGACGCGGTCAGGGTATTTGGTCGCAAAGCCTGAAGGGCCAGCCACAGCCTCCGGGAACCCTGATATCCATGTGGATAGATGCTGTTCCGGTCACTGAGGCTGCTGGCCGCAGCTTGATCGACGGAATCAGGCTCTGGAGTTTTCTGGATCGCAAGTACTCTGTATCCAAAGTTTGGCAGCTCAGGACTCGCTTACTCTTCTGTTCCAACTCCAAGTTCGGAAAGCTCAGCATGACTCCACTGCTTCGGCTTGGGAAGCGGGGGCTCGCTTAAGATGTGATGACTCATGCACGCGATGCCTTAGCACCAACGACCAACAGCCGCACAGCCACAAAACCTAAAACGACAGACGCAAGATGCTCCGCCCATAGCGTGCACCCGACACCGACCAGAAAGAAGCCCTCTGCATCCCGAGTTCCCGACCGTCGAAGTCGGCGTTGAAGGGTGAGCACACCAAGGGATGAATCTTCAACGCCTATTGCGAAGGAGATGTGTGTGTGTGTGTGTGACGATGCGACACTGTCATGTTGACTACGGCGATTACGGCGATGATTTGTGACGTCACTGTGCTCTCCACAGGACAAATTCATAATTGCGATGCTGATGCTTGTATGGTGCTGTCAGTGCATGAAGATGCTTGTGATGACGACGACGACAAGGACGATGACGAAGATGACTGATGTGTGATGGTGGCGATGTTGATGGCTATTTAGGGCAACCTTGTACCGTCTGCAGGCAATGGAGTGGAAGGCAAACCGTGTCCGGTACACCTGCCACAGTGGGAACCAGCCCCCTCCAGGAAGAGGATAGTGCCCGGGACGGTGACCGCGACAAAAAGCTATGCAGTGGCTATGCAGACCGTCACTTCCACCCATGCGCCGTGTCATGCTGATTACCTGCTCACTCGGTTCGGTGTTTTACTGAGCTTACTGGTCTTCGTGCATGTGTTGGCGCTTTTGCTGCTCTGCTGCCAGAATATGAGTTGGCATCTTCCGGCTGATCTCGTGGTCTCAATTTCAGTCAAGGCTTTGATGATTGTGTTGGTAGCCGCTGCTTTCGCAGTTTCGTTTCGGCGGCGAGTCGATATCCTGGTCCGCGAAGTCGTCGCAGAACATCGATGCACATGTCAGTCGCCCCGGTGCCATTCAGTGCGTCCGCTTTTCCCTCCCGTGGTGTGATGCTAGGCACTGCAACTGGCTTGTGGGTCGGCATCACGACGGTTCCCGTTTTGGTACACAGACATATACATATGCATATATATAGATGTATGTATACATGTGTATGTATATATATATATATATATTCATATATATATATATATATATATTTGGCCTCTGCTCTAGCACGTTTTCTTTAGACGGTATTTACCTGTTAATTGGGGGGGCCATTTACCACTTAGCTGTTCTGTTAATGGGGGACCATTTACCACTTAACTTTTCTGTCAATCGGGGCCCATTTACCACTTAACTTTTCTGTTATTGGGGGACCATTTACCACTTAACTTTTCTGTCAATCGGGGCCCATTTACCACTTAACTTTTCTGTTAATGGGTGCCATTTACCACTTAACTTCTCTGTTAATGGGGGCCCATTTACCACTTAACTTTTCTGTTAGTGGGGACCCTTTTCCACTTAACTTTTCTGTTAATGGAGACCCATTTATCACTTAGCTTTGCTGTTCATCCGGACTCATTGATCGCTTAGCTTTGGCCGGGCCTGCTTATATTTATCACTGACCACTTATCATATCACTTATCACTGATCAAGGTTAGGCAGGGCTAAGCGGTAACCAAGGGCTAAAGTTAAGTGGTAACCAGAGATAATAGGGCCGAGTTAAGTGGTAACTAGGGGCAAAGTTAAGTGGTAACTAGGGCCGAATTAAGTGGAAACTAGGGGCAAAGTTAAGTGGTTACTAGGGCCGAATTAAGTGGTAACTAGGGGCAAAGTTAATTCGTAACTAGGGCCAAGTTAAGTGGTAACTAGGGGCAAAGTTAAGTGGTAACTAGGGCCGAATTAAGTGGTAACTAAGGGCCAAGTTAAGTGGTAACTAGGGCCAAGCTAAGTGGTAACTAGGGGCAAAGTTACGTGGTAACTAGGGCCGAGTTAAGTGGTAACTAGGGGCAAAGTTAAGTGGTAACTAAGGCAGGCCTAAGTGGTAACTACGGGCAAAGATAAGTGGTAACTAAGGCAGGATTATGTGGTAACTAGGGGCAAAGTTAAGTGGTAACTAAGGCAAAGTTAAGTGGTAACTAGGGCACAGATAAGTGGTAACTAAGCGCAGAAGTAAGTGGTAACTACCTGAGGGGATATAGCCTAAAGAGACCCCCTCCAAACCTGATAGAGCAGACCTCCAATATATATATATATATATATATATATGTATTCATATATACATATATATATATATATTGATTGATTGATGGGTCGATGATGCATGCTCCGAAACCGACGGGACTCGGATTAACCCAACGCTGCACGACACGAGTCGACAACGGCTGGTAACTTCAGTCGTAACTTTGCCCCAGCTCATCGCGGAGCAACATGTTGAACAATCAAAGGCAAGCGACAGAGTTCTGGCTACAGCTGTCGATGCGCCATGAAATCGACACCATGATCAAGACATGCGATCCGACAGGAGATCACAGGAGCACCATTGTTGACACAATACCTACAACAGCCGGGAGACCAGAGACAATCATCACGGATCACGCCTTTCCAGGTATGAGCGTCGGCTTGAATGCCTGTCGGAGTCCGTCGGCATTGGGTAAGGCCGTGTATGTCACATTATGTCACAGGACAGGAAGGCTTTCAGGGCAATCCAAATGGTGTCCGCAGTTTCGGGGTTCTAGTTTCGGATCGGCTGCCGGTGGTTTTTCGGATCAGAGGGGGTAGTTTCGGGACGCGGGTCTGTCAGTTTCGACGGGCCATGTGGGCAAATTCAGTCCGGTTCTTGCAGGCCTGGACCTGAAAACTGACCATGCTGTGAGACCGAAACTGACCACCTCCTGATCCGAAACTGTCCCGGACCATGTTCCGAAACTCTGCTCCGAAACTAACCTCGAAAAACCCTGAAACTCACAACTTCCACCATCCAAACTCTGCCCAAAACCGCAAGAACACGGAAGCAACAATCCCTTGTGCAAGTGCCTGCATGCTCAGCCGGTGCAGGGTTGGAGCTCGATTCCTTATCCGGGCTTCCACACTGGATTCTGCAGAACTAAGAATTACCAGCAACACTTCCCGGCTTCCCGAAGCCAGGTGCATCGGAATCTGGGCGCCTGGACTCAGCACAACTGCATGCTGAGAGCCCCAAACCCTGTCCTAGCTTCACAAAGCCTGGAAGGGCGCAAGGCCTGAAATGCAAAGCACCAGAGGTCCCAGCAGAATGATTTTCCTCGGCAGGAGACACGGTCTGAAACAGACTATGTGGCGCTGCTCTCGATAGAAGCCGGTGTAATGCTACGAAAGACTTTATGTTCGTTCTGCATCGCGAGATGGTGTGTTGCGGTCATGCGATTACGGATAGAGGTCCGGTATCGAGCACTCTCAGCAGGATTTTGAAGAAAAGATTGCCGCAGCACACTATCTGAAACGAATCGCATGATATGCGCCGACCGCACTACAAACCACGTCTATGGCAACTACCAAGGAGGATTGAACTGTAATCTGTAAAGGAACCGGTCTGTCACCCTGCTGACAAGAACGTTGACCTTGCAAAGTCCAGTGAAAGCCCCCTTTCCCGTCAACGTTGACCGCAAGGTGTGCTACATCTTGCTTCTTGTGGGGTCTTCCATACAATCCCTGACTTGCTGAGTTTCTTGGGGAAACAACACAAAACTAACACTTGGAAGACTGCTGGGCTAAGTACCGTGACCTCCGTAAGCTTTCAGGAAAACGCACGCTGTCTACGAGGTCGAATGCACAGGCATGCGCAACGAGGATTGTAGTTTGCCAGGCCCTGCCTGAGCTTCGGACGCTACAAACTTTGGTGAGTCTGGTCGCACCCGTAGATGGTACATCTGACAATACCAATTTGGGAGAGCCCAGGGCTTGGGGTCATCTGCTAGTATGGGAAAGTAGTCTGAACTTTGTACACAGAAAAACCAAGAGTGTTCAAGCACTTCTATACCAAGCTTCCGATCTCCCATGGCTTGCCGGAGCAACTCGTACTGCGTCTCCTCCGGAAAACAATGGTTTCTCGGCTTCATGAAGTCCCGCAGCCTGGATGGCTCAAACCCTTGGTCAAGAACCCAACTGCCTTCAAAAGACCGATTCTTAGCCGGTATCTCTCATCGGCCTCGCTTTGGTCGTCGAACCACTCCAACAGACGCTCTCTTTCGCCTGGCACAGGGGTGGGCAGACAGGGCAGGCTCGGATTGCAGCGAAGAGGACTGCCGACTCCGAGGCTCGTTGCTGGTGACTGTGATGCGGCTTCGTGACGGGTAGGCTTTCGCTGGCCTCCTTGGGACGTCGCCCACAACGAAACCGTCTGCCCACCTGGGTCACTGGGTCACAGAACAAGCCTGTGAGGGGTATGAACTGCCTGCACGATGCACATAGGAAGGCAACCTTACCGCCCAGATCTCAGAACTGTATGTGTCAGGAGGCATTTCTCTTTGAGCTCGCGCATCAAGAAGGGCATGTACATCTCCTGTGACAGCAACCCCTCATGCGAAGTCTGCCGGGCCAGGGCCAGGCGGATCAGAAGAGCAAAAGCAACCATCCATCCCAAGCTACAGCGGTTCCTGTGGTTCAGGTCCCAAGTGTGGTTTGAAGTATACTGTCCGGACTCGGGTATGTGGATCGTTTTCGACAGTGTCAAAAATGGCATCAGAGCATGGATTTTTTTTGATGGTGCAGCGACATCCGAAGCCCTCAAACCGGCAGAATTCGCTTCGGGTGTGCCTTGGCAATTTCAAAGGGGAGACCGCACCTGAGCCACTGCAGGGCTTTTGAGGTTGCCCTGTCCGAAGAAGGTTTACCGTGTGCGGAGGTCAGGGTCGTAAAGTTTGAGATCAGAGAGAGGCTTTTCATGCTCGGCGAGATCTGCATCGACAGGATCAAGCGGTCAAGCCAGCTGCTTGCTTCTCCATGAAGTTACGTGATGCGCATGTGGGCGCAAGTCAAGCTCGGTCAAATATGCGGTAGAGCTTAATTGACAGGATGTGCAATGTTGCTTCGACCAGCAGAGTTGGAACAACCTCGACAAAGAGGTGAAGGCTCTGATGATGCGTGATATGTGACAGGCGGCATCATGATGTTGGGACTATCAGGCTCGAAACGGTGCAGTTCCATGCGTCAAGATGCTGAGAAGTTGGAGCTTGAGCGGGCTATGGCAAGCCCGGCGCCCACCCTCATTCTGCACTTGCTACATGTAGAACTTCACCGAGCTACATCGCTATCCTAGCACACGTGCCATTGATGAAAAACGTGCAAGTGCTCCTAAACTGAACGCAATGAGAGCCCGGCTCGTCGAGCTTCAGTTTGGGCTCAACAACAATGACCTGGCAGGCTGATGATCTAGGTTCGAAAAGAACTCCCTGTGCGACACATGTGACCCATAAGAGCACTGTACGGGTTTGAACTCACCACTTCCTGAAGCAGCCGTGAACAGACTTCGGGACGATTGTACCAGACTATAGTCCTACTTCGACGCCAAGCTAAGAGGCTTCAGCTGACAACTGCACAAACCACGAAGTAACGGAAAGAAATCAATTTTCTGGAGGCCCAGCCGTCCGTGCGGAGTAGTCCACACGCTTCCCGAGCATGTTCTTTCGCATGCGTCCTGTTCAGAAGAAGCTCAAAGGTCCACTTAGGAGTTCTTCCTCTCAGCGTGGCACCCGCATCCAAAAGAGAAGCTGGGGAGGATACGTACTTTTGATACATATGACATAGATTGTGCTAGCTGCTAGATTGAAAGGAGTGTGCCTGCACAAGGCCGCTTCGTGAAAAGTGAAGCGAAGTACCACTAATGCCCCTGCATCGCAACCGATTCTGCTTGAATCTAATATGTAAGGAAGCACGGCTCGACCCAGGTAGTTCGCGGGGTAGGGCATGATATCAAAACAGCCCCTGCCGTGTCGAAGATGCTCAGCACAAGCCGGCTTTGAACCGATGGGCAGCTTTGGCTCAGGCTACTCGAGCAGCTTTGCAAAATTTCCTCAAGCCATGACACAACCTTGCCGGAGTTTAGTTAGGCAAGCTGCGTCTGTGGAGTAATGAAAGCCTGCCTGCAGCCGGGCTTCTGGCAGGCAGGGCTCCCGTAGTGTTATAGCTTCCACGCAGCATGCTGACACTATGCCACTGCGCCCTGAAGCCGAACAGTCCAAAAAAAACCCTGGCGATATTGTCATCCAGCCTTGCTTGCCCTTCAGCCGTTTGGCCACGGACTCCAAGGGGTCCCCGGAAGTCTTCGTCTTCGCGGGATTGATGCGACCTTGTGGCTTCTGGCTTCTGGGATCCTGATTCAACACCGTCAAGGGCAAAATAAACAATCAAACTACAGTCTACAGGGAAATTCTGAAATGCCTCTAGCGGCACAATAGTGGCCAAAGCCAATACAAACACGTGCGGGTACACACAGACAGAAAAACAAACCAACATCCACGTGGATCATCCGGAAGACCACTCTTACAGTGACTGGCTTCCTCCTCGCGTCAGCAGACATATACCCCAAATCTTTGTCCCGTCCGGGGCTTGGCCCCCTCCATACTGTAGAATCACAGCATGGCGAAACAGCAATGAATGAACTCTGTCAAAGTTCGCGTCAGAACTGTCCTCCTCTTGTGAAGGCGTGTTGCCTAGCCATCCGTTCCCCCGAAGACAATCTGTCATTCTTTCGCAAGTTGTGTGGGGTTGGTCCCTCTCTCTCTCTCTGTCTTTGTGCTCCTGCATCTCTTTCTCCCTCGAGGTGTAGTCAAAAATCAGAAGCCCAAGGATGTGAATGCCAAGCACCACGCCGTTGTCGATAAGGCAATCGACTGCCTTAGCTGTTCAACCCGCCAGTTACCAGCCCAAATCTCCACTCGAAATCTGGTGTACCTTGAAGCTCAACAAGATCTTCAGTCATTGCTTATGGCGAGCAGAGCAGAGGCTTGCAGCACTTCACCATAAAGCCCGCTGACGGGACCATCACTACTACTCTAAGATGCCTCACTCACGCACATCAGTTCTGAAACCTGGCTCCTGGATATGCAGGAGGCCCAAAATTCCAAGGATGGTACCATCTGGAGCATGAACTTGCGGTAGCGGAGAAGTCCTGCTGGAGCTCCTGGGCTGTCAACGACTTACAGAGGCCTCATGGCCGAAAGTCCTGTTATGATTGGAGAAATGCTCCACGCCATGTGACATCGCACATGCCGACAGCATGGAGTTCATGGAGCAGTGGGGCCCTCAGGTTTTCAAAGCCATGCAGTTCAGAGTTCAAACAACAAGGAAGTGTCTGGGGCGATCCCTACCCACACAAAACACCAGTAGCTACCGAAACAAAACATCTTCGGATCATTCAAACTGTTCGGTTTAGAGGCACCCGATGTGCAAGAAACCGTGTGTTCGCCACTCCTTCCCGCCCGAAAGCAAACTGGCCCAGCACAAGCTCAAGGCTGGAAAGGCACGCTGAAAGCTTTAGCCCCAAACACTAGATGCTAGCTCTCTTTTACCAAAAACCTGAACCCTCAAACCCTGAGCCCTAGACCATAGAAAACGAACCCTGGAACCGGATCCAACCGTAAACCCTGGCCTAAAAAGCTGTTGCCGGGAGCCCAGCTCTCAGCGAGTGCCACCTGGAACAATCGCCCGGCAGACAGGATGTCCTGTTTGGGGCTTTGGGGCGTTTGTGTTGAGGTTGCAGCTAGGGCCAGGGCGAGGGCTAAAGACTTGCTTCTGACCTGTTTTTGTTTTGCGCTTTTCCGTTTGCAGTGTTTCTGTATCCGGAATGCCACGCTAGCTTTGAGATGGCCTAAGTCTGGGCAGACTGCGATTCTTGCAAATAATTACTGTTAGGGGTTCAATAGGAATTTAATAGGATTCTTGGGTTTTTACGAATAGGAAATAAA